GGCATGTGCCACCACTCCTGGCTAATTTTTTAATTTTTTGTAGAGATAGGGTCTCACTGTGTTGCCCAAGCTGGTCTCAAACTCCTGGCCTCAAGTGATCCTCCTACCTCAGCCTCCCAAAGTACTGCGATTACAGGTGTGAGCCACCACGCCTAGCCTATACATGTGTTTGCTAAATGCAAGTCTTCATAGGTGACACCATGGTTAGTGGTTCTTGTCTAAATATATTTTTAAATAATCAATTTCTAATTACAAAAGTAGTATGTGTTTATTTGTAAACATTTTAGAAAATGCAGAAACACACAATGAATATCATACGACTTATACCATCCTGATATAACTGCATAACTATACATGAGTTCATTTTGTCTTATAACTTTTTTTCTAGTCATTAATGTTTTCCCATGGCACAGAATATTCTATTACAATACCACTATTAATTGCAATAGTGTTCTTCAATGGTTCCACCATATACCAATACCTGTTATTGGACATTTCTTTTAATTTTTTGCTCTTTTCAGTAACAATGTAAAAAACGTATTTATAGATATCCCAGACTACTTCCTTTGCTTAATTTCTTACAACTAAATTCCTAGGACACAAAGAGATTAATTTATGTATGTTAAATAACAAACCACATAAAATATTCTCTTTTTTTTTTTAGCAAAATGTATTTTAGTTTTCCGGCTTTTTTTCCTTTAAAGTGTTGACTGGAAGCAGTGTGTTATTTTCATGATAATGATTTCTACTCTTACTGCAAGAGGCTCAGTTTATAACCACATGAACAGTAGATATATAGAGAGAGGTAGATATGATTTATATAGATTATGAAAGTTAAATATTTAATCTCACTTTTTGACATAAACTTTAAATAGTAGAGATCCGAACTGCACAGAAACACAATTTCTCTTTCATTAATTTTGTTATGTTAAAGTCAGTGATATTACTTTGAGCTTGTTATATTGGTTATGTTTTCTTCTAGGTAAATCGTGAGTTAAAAAAGTTGCTGGTGGCTTCTGTCGGGGATGATCTTCAGTATCACTTTGAACGTCTAGCCCGTGAGAAAAATCAGCTTATTTTAGAAAATGAAGTGCTAGGTCGAAACACAGCTCAGCTTTCCGAACAGTTAGAACGTATATCAATACAGTGTGATGTATGGCGAAGTAAATTCCTCGCAAGCAGGTATTTTCTATTGTAAATAGTATTTCATTTCTTAGTTTGTGCTCTGTTTATCAGGTTTTTGACCTATAATACAAGAAAATAGATTGGAATGTAAAAATTTCTGACTAATATTGTCAAAGTACTTCATACAGTATTTAGGATGTGGACTTTTCCCTCCTTTGGCTGGTCACATAATCTCCCTAAATGGAGAAGTGTTATAAAGATCCTCCCTTATTCCTGAATTCTAGGTTACTACTCTATAGTAGAAATCACTCCTACTACCATGTTTAAGACAAAAGCAAAACCATAAACTCAGACATCTATTAAATATTAAATTAACAAAAGGCCAAACTAAATTATTTTTGTTCACTTTCTATCTGGAGAAATCAAATATCATTCCTACTCCGTAAGACAATATTATTTATTTTTTACACTCTGTTCTCATAGCTCTTTTAACTAATAAAACTTCACCACCTTTTTCTCTCCATACACAAATAGAAAATTATAACATTTTTATGACATATTGGATGAAGCTGTTCCCCAACAGAGATGAAATCCTCAGGGTCCTAGTCCAGGCCTCTGAACATACTGGTGGTTGGGAAACTCTGCTATATATTATTATTCTTTGTCTATTTATCTCTTCCATCACCTCAGCTTTGAGTTACTGGAGAACAGGATCTGGATGTTATCCATCTGTGTATTTCCAGTGCTTAGCAAAGTACTTCACACATAATATGTTTAATAACTGTTGATTTAAATTGAATCATCTAGAGATTTCTCACAAAACACCAAAGGTTTCCAGGCTGTACTTTAAGAACCACCAATTGTGATAAGTAAATTTTTAGGAAAGTGTTTCTTCATGTCTTAGAATCAACAATACTTTCTATTAGTTGATTACTCTC